CTCGTGTAAACTATACGTGAACGTAATAGATATAATATAGCACGCATATACAGATATCGTGGTATTTTACAGGATAGTCTGTATAATATTGCGAGCGAAGAGAAAAAAAGGTTAACCTTGTATAATTTATCAATTAAGAGATGAATATATTTGTATAAGTAATTTTGCCTCGATTATAATCCTATATGTCGTAACTTTAGGGGTGCCACGAAGAGATTATCTGACTAACCATTGTGGCTTAATACGAAATAAGTACAACTGTATGTAGTCTAAGATTTGTTAAAATATCTATCAAAAATACAAAGCCAAATATTTTTGATTGATTGACTTTTTCATTACGATTTATATATCAGTTAAACTATATTAATTTTTTTTTTTCAGTAGTTTTGATTACAAATCTATTTTTACATCGAAACGATCATTAAGTCCTTGTAATTGTCATTAATATCACTACTCTGGATAATTGATACCTGCAAGTACATTGTATACGTGTATATTATAAACAAATTGATTTAATATTATATTTATTTGATATATCCGTATTTTAATATTAATAATTTATTATAAATACGACGAAAGTTCTATAAAATCGTAATAATTTACAGTAATTGTTTTAACTATTAAAGTTTACCAAAAAATAATTATTAATAATATGATAATAATAATAATAATAATAATAATAATAATATTTATTAAACTTGTGTAATATAATAATAATATGTATATTTGGAACTTATCTGTATTTTAGGATGTATTGAGTGTCTCACAAAATTCAAACACCTAGTTGGAACAATACCAACAAAACTGGTTGAAATAAATTTATTAGGATAGATTATACGTCATATAATCATTTTCACTGTTTTATTTAAACAATCCACACATGTTCCTGATATAATCACTACAATATTATAGTATAAATTTAGTAAAGTAAACATCATAACATTAATATTTTATATCGTACACAGAAACACGGTAGAATAAATAATAATTTATCTTCAATCAACAATTGAATCAAAGTTCAATACTGTTAGTGAAAATATAAAATTATTTTTGAGCTGGTATTTGACTTTATAAACACATAGCTATTACCTATCTATACATTAAAGGAGTACGTGTGTACTATCAGTAAATTACTTTACAAATATAAATAATAATCTGACAGATATTTATTTGATTGTATTGAATATTCACACACAGAACGAATTCAGTAAAAATAGTGTACACGCAATACACGTATTATATACAATTGGTATATGTAATACGATCATAAGATTACAGTATTTTGCAACCACAAGTAAAGAATATCTAATTTAAATATTGATATTAACAGATGTTTTTATACTCAGAGAGTTGAATACTACAAATTGAATAATATGTATAATTTGTACGATAATTTACACTCTATGAAAAGTATAATGATACCTAGGTATGCAGTTTAATTAATTTTTTTTTTATATTGAACAAACTAAAAGTCTTAAAAATTATTATAATATATTCACAAATCATTCTTTAAGAAATAATAATAATATATAATTCAAAGATGCCACAAATGTGTTTTCTCCTCTATCGTATCGTGTCTTCATGTACATATTTAATCTCTAGTTTATCTATTATCCAATTGTTTGTAATGATTGTAAATATTCTTTAAAATTAAAATAAACAAAAAAAATACCTAACAGGCAATGCATAGATTAGACACTTAATACATCTATCGACTATTAAAAATAATAAATATAATTTATCGAAAATACAAGAATTTTATATTCATGTTTTAAATACAACAATTTTAATTTCTAATACCAAATCAATTAAATATTAAATTAAAAAAAAAATCAATAATACAGACACCGAGGGGTTAGTGTTTTATATGAAAAAATATTAAAATAACAATAACACCCTACGTTCAAAAAAAACATAAAAAGCTTTGGATATTCTCCACACTATTCTGACAATAGCAGCGATGCCATTGACAGTGTGCACTAATCAATGATATGAAATTGAATCTAAAATTATGTTTTCAGTTTTAGGCACATTTCAACATTCACTGCCACAAAATATCATAAAATTCTACTACCTAAAAGATAATTTAAAATAACTCCAAATATGACACTACAGATATTGAGTGTTATTAAAATTTAAAAACGATTTTAAAAATTATAAAAATCCTATTCCGATCAAAGCTTACTAAGACTACACATAATGTGCTGAGATTTTCCCATAAGTTTTCGACGATTGTAAAAATAATTTTATTATGTTAAAAGAAATTTATAAAATAATTACCACCCGGATTAAATTGTGAATGTTAATATTATTACCAATTACAGTAAAATGATCCTTAACTGACTTTAAACAAGCTATGACGTGCAATGATGAGTTGAATTTAATATTTAACTCGTGAGTAACGCATTACTAACATATTATTACCCACATATTAAATACAGGACACATAATCTTACACTTACTTATCGTGATACCTAAACCCGAAAAGTTAATTATTGTTGATCATCAGTGGCATAGTATTTGTACAATAGTATATACTTTATATAAGTTACTTCTGCTGGAAAATGCGCACGTATTTGCGTTGAAGCCAAGATTGGTTTGACAGTCCGATATACTTTTCCGATGTTATTTCATTATGAGTTCTAGTTCAGTACATAGAAAAAGTCTCAAACAATTATTCGATAAAACGAGCCTATACCTATCCTCGGATACAATTAGACCATAGTGCGGAGGAGCTCGAAATCTCCATATGTACAACATAAGACAACTGACCTTGAGCGCGTATTAATTCCAGGCGGAAAACTTTACCCTTAATAATAAATAACGATAAAATGCATCGTAAATTGGACTTGCAAAAAGTTTAGCGCCATCAACATTTTGGTCCGACGAACGGCGGATAATTTATGGACGGATTTGAACCGCGTTCTCACCCTTCTAATAAATCACTTGTCGTGTATATTTGTATGTGTATGTGTGTTTGTGTGGTGAAGAGCAAAAGTATTGATTTTTGATTACCCGTAACGTTAGTTATATTGACGAATTACCGTAGGCGATTAAGTTTGTGGTCTATACGATGTAACAGTATGTTTACCAATATGTTTACATCGGAAGCCAGTTTGTATGTGTATACGTACACATGCCTACGGGAACACATAAACATATTTATATATAAGTATTATATATTGTACTCGTGTATGTGTGTGCTAACGTGCGTGTATATTTACTATATATATATGTGTGTTATAAATTAATAATAATTAATTCGTTGGTATATTTTGTAGAAAGAGTGAGCACGCGTCCATTTCGTTATTTTTCAAACCACGTCGACTTTTGTAATCGAAAAAAGATATTTATATCGCGATTCATTTCACGGAAACTTCCATCAATCCCGTCTAGGCGAAGTTCAATTATTCTCCCGGAAAAATGGGCTAAGGTTAACATTACTATTGCAGGCATAATATGAACGTGAGAATTGATTGCGTTGGAAGAAATAATGTAGCGGAGGCAAAACCCAGAAATCATATTAAATGATTTGGGAGGAGGAGGGCTAATGTTTATAAATACCTAAATACAAAAAATAAAAAAAATTATCATAACAGATAAAATTGCAAAAAATAACGTTTCTATATTATACAAGTCTATATCGTGGCAATATATAACTGTAATTTTATTTTTCTTGTGGTATTTGAATTTTGATCTAAACAGAGAACCTATTAGTCATAAAATAATGGAGTGTGTGTAAGTTTTTAATGTCTATCATATAGAAAACATCACAATTATTTTTCACAAAACTTTAGAGAGACTTTGATCTCATTCAACTCAACCTTTTTTTTCTGTTAAACAGAATTTGGAGTGAAAAATGATAACATGTTTTCAAATTTACCAATAAGTGTACACTTATTTTAAATATCTATTAAGTATTTGTATATAAATATACTAATATCAATTATCAATTAAAATGTACTCAAATTTCAAATGCCTTTTATTAACTACTTTTTAAGACATTATTATTAGTAAATATTAACATGGCATTTAACATATTCTATTCGTGCGTTTTAAGTAACATATTAAATGATAATAATGCCGTTATTTGGACGAATATGTGTTTAAAGCAATTTATTATCAGTAAAAAAAAATATATCTGCAGAATATTTGAATAATAATTTATCGATTTAACAGATGTTTTACATTAAATATAAAATAAATCTTTTATGAAAATATTATTTATGTTACTAAGGAATTATTACTGCTGCTAATGTATAATTTATTTTTCTTCATTTAGATATTTTGATTACTTTAATTTTAATTTATATTTTAAAAACATACCAGTAGTATGAAATTTTATATTTTTAAGAACTTTATACCCATATTATAATATTATGACATCTTAGAATAAGCATACATTAGAAAAACTTTATAAGCTTATATATCTAAATAAATTTAAAACTTTGAAATGATAAAGGTTATGACGCTTATAATAATATCACATTTCATGTGCTCACATCACATGTACTATTACTTTTTATTTTACACAGTAAAAGAAATTTACAACACACTGTATACTGTCTCGTAATAAAATATAACGTAAATAATAATGCTATCTGACACATCTGTTTCGAATTACAATAACCCGAAAAAATAACAAAAATCACTTAAATAATATAATAACTTCTTGATGAAGAAAGTTAAATCAGTAATTAACAAAATAATTTATAATAATATAAAACCCAAAACAGAATACACTCAATTTTTCAAATGTCAATTCGACCACGTTTTATTAACTAAACTATATCACTTAATAATTGTAACGAAATTTAAACTCTTGGGTTTTTGATTACGTTAACTTTTATTTAAAATGAAAATTTACATATGTATATGAAATATTTACATTATTTTCTTTTTATGATATGACTTTATGTCTTTTAAATACAATAAAAATATAGGATGATAATATGACAAATATTCATTTAATGATATACTTTTATAGGAATGAAACTCACGGGAGGGAGATTGTACAACGTTGTCCTTTGTTTACCGTCTTGATCTGGATCGTACCGTAGTTCTGTTTCTGTGTCTGGAATAATCTTCACTGTTGTCTCTTGATAGTTATTCTTCGTAATATATAACTGGGAAGTTTGGGTTCATACAAAATATTATATATTTTAATATATTTGTATTTCACAATATTATATTGTAAAATATATATTAAGATATATAATTATACCCCGTACAACTGAGTGTTGGTCCCGACTTAAAGTAAACCTTAAGTGGGCACTGCAGCTCTTCGTGGTTAAATTGCTATGGTAACTATATAGTTGATGTGACGTCACCGTATGAAGGTCGTATATACCTTCCGGTGAGTGATCAACCAGTTACGGGATAAGAAAAAGGCCGGAGGCGGGAAGCGTGTTTGCTGACAGCGCCGACGGGTTTATATGATTTCTTCGAGTTGTTTGACAGATGTAATGAAATTTAAGTTTCTTGAATTTTGCATTAATTTCTAGGGCCATAGTTATCGGGGAATTATTTTATTAATTTTTTGGGGTGTTTATATTAAACAGCGATGTATGTGATTATTTGTTGAGATGAGATGTAGTCGATATAAAAATGAGTAAAAGGCGGGTTGCAATGACGGCGGCGGGATATATGCCATCTGGTTAGTATTTAGTAGGCGTCGGCGCATTGACGTGATAGTATCACGCTAATGTACGACACAAGAGCGCGGCACTTGTGCGTTCTTGTCTCGTTACATAATATTAAATATATTGATATTTTTTTTACTGCATCAGCATTCAAAGCCACAAATAAAAGATGTGAAAAGTATTTCCAATTGCAATGGTCAACTTTTCTTTATGAACAATTAAACTTTTTATTGGATTTAATTACCACACTTTAAATTTTATGAATTATAATATTATATTTTAAAAAAGTATATAAAAGTATTTTTTTTAAATATAAGTGCTGTAATATTTGTTTTATAATTTTGTTATTGGCAATTTTTTTTTTTGGTATCATACCATAGACTTAGTTTTTTTCTTTTTAGTTTATTGCCACGATTTATTCGAAACTATAGTAAAAAGTTTAAGATACCTAGATTATATTTTATAAAATATTAAATTAAATTTTTATATTTTTAAAATGATTGCAATGTTAATGTATAAAAAGTTATTTTACTTTATATTTTTTCTTTAATTTGTAGAAAATAGCTGTTTATTGATTGATTGATTATGTTTTTGTGCTTTTAATATCATAGCTGATTTTAAAAAAGAATCGCATTTCTTTCTATGCAATAATTAATGGTCAATAAATTATATATTCTAATTAATTATTTTTTATTACTTTAACCATTCACTCGAGTTCAACATTTTATACGGAAATTGAAAATTAAAAATATGACAAGAAATTTTATTTAAGAGCAAATTTTATTTGACATAATTATACTTTATACCTATCGTAAAATAATATTTAAAATATTCATCGTGTATATAAAGTGTATACACAATACATAAATATCTAAACTCTGTAGTTATTATTTTTATTACTTATTCAATTTTAATAAAATATTAAAACTAAATACATATTTTCCATCAGTGATCAAAATTACAATTAGTTAATTTATTTATTTAACGACGTCCGGGGCTATACATATTATTATAGTTAGTAAGTTATTATAACATAATTTGTATACTTCGTTTTATATTCTTGTACATAGTGAATTAAATATATGATTATTGCATTGATACATGCTAGAACTAAAATAATTTTTGAAGCGTGATTTTTAAAACAGTTGTGTTGTAATAATTTCTAACTTCATTAGTTGTATTATTTAACACGGTTAACTGCGGTTTGGAAACTGAACATTATAGGGGTAAAGTAATCGTTCAACTCATTCATCATCGTTATACTGATAAATGAACGTACACCTACATCAACTTTAGAATTATTTCAAAATGATGATCGTACACATGTAGGTTTAACGTAATTAGCTATTTAATATATATATTATATATATCGTACATATTTTTTATATTCTATATATTTAAATATTATTTTTATTGACAGTAGTTTATTGAAAATATCAAATTCATAACGTAAATAAGAAAAAAAAAGTACTTAATCAAAAATGTAGAGAATAATAAATTTACTATAATTTTAAACAAATCAGTTTTTTTGGTTTTCTGTATAATTGCTTACACGCTTTACGTAAAATGGAATAAGATAATAACTTATTTTATCATTATTAAGATAATATTAGAAATCGTGTGCAATCAATAAAATATATTCAAAATAATTAAATTTATTACGTTACAAAAAAAAAAAAAATCAATATTTAATCTAGTTATTTTATAAGAACAATTATTGTTTATCTGTTTATTAATACCTCTTAAAATGGTATTATCTACTTTTATAAAAAATCACAATGGAACACGAGTAATTTCTTATAATTATGTCGAATAAAAATAAATGAAACTGGTAATTGTGCGCACGAACATTGTTATTATTTTAATATCCACTTATTTGGATTAGCAACACGCCACTATTATAACCAAAACAGTAGTAAACTATACGAATCAAAAATAACAACAGGTATTATATTACTTGTCGTACATTTTTCAAAAATATTTCATTTTATTCATTATATATTATGACTTTACTAAAACTTTAAATTAATAACCATTGTATTAAAAATATGGCCAACTTAAATAGTGACATAATAGTAAGTTGAGTTTCCTAGCAATAATGCTTGGCTGAATTAATCGAGTAGTGTACTATTTTGCTCTGAATGGAAACATTGTGTTATTTCACAAAAACAAAATATCCCATTCATAAAACAATAATTTAATTTTAATTTTATTATTATATCTAATATTTTTTTTAAACTTTATAAAAATAAAACTGACACAGATAATTGATATATTTAATTAACACCAAAATATTGTTTTAATTTAATTTATATAATACTATAGAAGTTAAATAGTTTTTTTATTGTTATATTATGTTAATATAAAATACACTATAAATTTTAAACAGCTTAAAAAGTTGAATTTAAATTGAATATTGTTAAACAATTTTTCTAAAAAAAAAAAAATATTGAATTTTTATAAAAAAAATTTCAAATAAAATTTTAACTGAAATGCTAACCTCTACAGAAAAACTAGGTTTAGTATGATAACAAATTTAAGGTTTTGATACATCTAGGAATTTATAATAAATTTTAAATAAAAATATTTGGTACAGATAAATACGTATGATAATAATATATAGTTTAAATGTTATGTAATTCAAATTTGTAATGTTTAAAAAAATTAAATATTTTTTTATAAATTTTAATTTAATTTAATTTAATTGTAATATATTAGAAAGTACCATATTAAAATTCATTTGGATTGAAGTTGTTAAACAAGTTTTGTGTGTCTTTTTTTACATAGTTCAATTTTATTAAATTTTTAAGGTAGAGGTGACTTTCAAAATCAATCTCGAATGGTTTTAAACAACTATTATAATAAAACACATTTATCGTTTTCAATAATTAAAACGTGAATAACAGATATTCATGAATAATCATTTTTAGAATTTAATGGTTTATAATTATTATTTATTATTGTTTTTACTGTCCTTTATTTGAAACCCAATAAGTGATTATATAATACATCATACAATATAAAATATAGGAAGTTAACAATAGTATATTTTATAAATGAATATATATTAGGTGTACTCACATTTAGTAGATTTGTGTTAAATTTCAAGTGCGATCATATATGTATATATATCACTATTTGTTAAAAACTTTTTTTCGAATCGAAACAGTTAAAATATAATTTTAATAATACTTTATTATTATGACATTAATAATAAATAAATTATCTACATTTTTAAAAATCTTTTTTTTTCTTGATTTCTATATATTATATTATAGCGCACAAAACGTAATCACAAAATATAAATAAAAACCAAACCACAAAAAAAAAAAAAATATTTGAAAAAATGAAAACGAAAAACCAACGAATTTTGTCAAATGCGAATTGCAGCCGTCGACCGATACTGTCGCGAGCGCGCTACACTACACACTGACTGCTCCTCTCGAGTACGACGTGACGCCACCGGACAAACTAGTAGATGCACGACAACGCTCTCCGAGCTTCAGACTTTAACCTCCCTCCTCCTCAAAAAAAAAAAAAAAAAATAAAAAAAAATAATAATAATAATAATTGCCATCCTCCACATCACCACTACCACTTTTTGATTCACCCCGTCACCCTTACATTATATTACTATCTCTCAAATTCTAACTAGCTCCACAGACATACATACGCAGGTTCTCTCACTCGTTCCCTCACTCTCTCTCTCTCTCTCTCTCTCTCTCTCTTTCTCTCCATTTTTCCCGCATTTAACCTTTTTTCGAGAGAGAGAGAGAAAGAGAGAAAGAGAAACGTTATAGGTTAGGCCGTTTAAAAGTTTTAATAATGTGTGCTCTAACCACGATTAATCCCCATTGTTGTGTACGTATGGCCTTCCAAAACGCGAGAGATAAAACCACAATACGATTATACTAAGCTCGATAGATATTCGAACTTGATCGAGATCAAATTGGAACATGTAGGTATAATATTATTTAAGTCATATTATATATATATATGCGTGTTTCTGCAACACGCCGAAATATTGTTATTGTTATTATTATTATTATTATTATCACACTATGAAATCATAGTCATGGTAATAAGATAACATAGCAATACATAATATTATATTATTATAAGTTATAATACAGATCACCTTAAATACGTGTGCGATTATGCTTTACATACTCTTATTAACTTAAAATTATCGGAATATTGACACGAAAGGCCGTGCTTATTATCGAAGCAATAACACTTGAATTTGATACAACCTTAAATTCGATCGAGGAAATTGCTGTTGAAGAGCTTTCAATTTAAACGGATCGTGAAAAACGCCATCACATCAATCTTTTTAAAATAGTATTTTTATTTTTATTTTGTTTTTATTATTATGTTTTGTTTCTACCTACCTATATACAATAGAGGGTAATATTTAAAAAAATGTTGTGGTAACTCAGTTAATTTTAACATAATAATTGAATATAAACATGTATAATAAGTATTGTTAATATTTTCTAAAGCATAAATATAGAACGATATAATGACTTACAAAGGAAGGAAAATTCGTATTTAACTACTCTAGTTTACTTTAAACTTATTATATTATAGAAAATATAAAAATGTAATTAGTGTTTATGAATAATTTTTTTCAAATTTTAAAATTATTTTAATGACAACGTCATATTTTTATTGATAAAAAATATGTAATTGGTTATTTTAATTTAGATCTAAATTGTAACTAAAACCAAATAAATAAATAATTTGTGAAAATATTATTTTTTAATGAATACAATTTTTATTATGTCATTGTAAAATAAAATTTAAAAATTAATGAAATAATTCAATAACCTACTAAAATTGTGTTATTTTCACAAATTATTCAATGTTCACATAATAATATATGACACATATCTAATAATTTGTATGCATGTTGTTTATTTTGTAACGAAAAATCCACATAATGTAAAAGTACCAATAATGTAAATTACTTATTTATCAAAAAAGAACATTTATATTATACACAGCAACATAGTTATAGCAGAAGAGAAATATTTTATTGATCCTATTAAAAAAATATATTTATTTTTTAAAGAGTCAAGCTAAATATTCAATACATGAAATAA